ATAATCTTGATTTTGAAGAATCTGTTGAAGCTTCTTTTCTGTCCTATCTTGTGGTCTATCTTTGAAAATATTCCTATGTATTTGAAAAGAATGTGTATTTTGCTTCTTTGGGATGTAAGGTTCTATATATGTCAGTTAAGTCCATTTGATCTAATGTGTTGTTCAATTTCACAATATCCTTGTTTATGTTTTGTTTGGAAGATCTATCCATTTTTGACAGTGGGGTCTTAAAATCCCCTACTATCAGTGTGTTGCTGTCTATATCTTCCTTGAAGTCCTCCAAGATTTTCCTTATATATTTGTGTGCTCCTATGTTGGATGCATATAACTTTACAATGTTTATGTTTTCTTGATGTATTAATCCCTTGAGAATTATGAAGTGTCCTTCTGAGTCCCTTTTTATGGCCTTTGTTTTGAAATCTATTTTGTCTGATATAAGTATTGCTACCACTGCTTTTTTTTTTCCCGTCCATTCACTTGGAATATTTTTTTTTCAACCCTTTACATTCAGTTGGGTCTCTTTTAGGCAGTATATGTATGTGTCATGTTTTCTTATCCATTCAGCTATCCTATCTTTTGATTGGGGCATTTAGTCCATTTACACTTAAAGTTATTATTGATAGGTACTTATTTATTATTTCCCTTTGTACCTGTGTTCCTCTTTTTCTGACTCTTTTTCTTCATCTTCTTAAAGCAGTCCCTTTAGCATATCTTACCGTTGTAGTTTGGTGAAGGTGTAGTCTTTTAGCCTTCTTTTGTTTGGGAAACTCCTTATTTCACCTTCTATTTTAATTGAGAGCCTTGCTGGGTAGCGCAGCCTTGGTTCTAGGCCTTTTCTTTTCATTACTTGGAATATTTCTTGCCATTCCCATCTGGCTTGTAGTGTTTCTGTTGAGAAGTCAGCTCCTAGGCAATTGGGGCCCCCTTGTATGTTACTTTCTCCTTCTCCCTTGCTGCCTTTAGGATTCTTTCTTTGTCTTTGACTTTTGCCATTTTAATGATGATGTGTATTGGAGTGGACCTCCTTGAGTCCCTCTTGAGTGGGGCCCTCTGTGCTTCCTGTGCCTGTGAGACTTTTTCTCTCCTCAAATTGGGGAACTTTTCCATCATTACTTTTTCTAAAAGGTTCTCTATCCCTTGCTCCTCTTCTTCTCCTTCTGGTATCCCTATTATGTGGATATTATTCCATTTCAGGTTTTCCTGCATTTCCCTAAATGCCTCTTCATTCTTTTTGAGTCTTTTCCATTTCTTGTTTTTTCTGGGAGCTTTTTTCTACCTTATCCTCCATCTCACTGATTCGATCCTCGGCTTCATCTTGACTGCTTTTGATTCCTTCTACTGTGTTCTTCAATTCATAAATGGTATTCTTCATATCCTCTTGTGTCTTCTTGATAGTTTCTATGTCCTTTTCCAGGTTGATATAGTTTACTGTAAGTTCCTGATAGTTTCTCTGCACTTTTCTCATAGTTATCTTTGAGCTGGCTGAGTTCATTGAGCTTCCTTAGAGCCATTGTTTTGAATTCAATATCTGATAGTTCCCTTGCCTCTATTTCATTTAGCTCTCTCTGTGGGGATTCCTCCTTTCCCCTCATTTGAGGGGAACTTCTTTTTCTTTCCATTTTTTGTGACAGTTTTTTTTTTTTCTTTTTTCTTTTTGCTTCTGCTTCAGTTGATCCATCTAGATTTCCTGACTTTGTGGATTAAACTTCTATGGTAGTAGAAAGGTCTTTTTATTTATTTATTTTTTTCTTTACTTTTCTTTCTGGTTCTGGCTCTGATGGTATCAGCTGTTGACCCTATCTGACCTTGGGTTGTTTGTTTGCACCTTCCAGGAATCTACTGTCTGTGTCTGACACCTGTGATTGTTAATCTGGGTACTCTGTCCTCATCTGTCAAGCTTAGGCAGGACAGGGCGGAGCAGTGTCTCCAATTGGTGGGACTATCCTGCCCTTATAGGCTGCTGTCACTCAGGGGCATAGTTCCCCTGAGTAAGATGTAGATTGTGGAGGGGGGAAGAGTCAGCTCAGGCATTCTCCAGTTAATCCTGTCTCCAGTCTCTCCTTGAGGGTCTCTGGGCCGCTCTGTGACTCCTTTGGCCAGGGATCCACTATTTCTGAGGACTGCGTTGTAATCCTGCAACTCCAGGCTTGCCTCCTGGCTTCTGCCTCTGGGGGCATGGCCTGCCGGCGCAAAATGGGGACTACGGAATGGAGAGGGAGTCTGCTCCAGGAATCTCGGATAATCCTCCAGTTCTTTCCCCAAGTCCTCCGTCTCCAGTTTTTCCTCAGGGATCTCTATGCAGCTGTGTGACCCTTTTGGCCAGGCATCCTCTATTTCTTCCAGCCTGTCTGCACTCAGCCCCCAGCCCACATGCACACAAGCTGCATGGGGAGCAAGCAAAAGGCAGGTCAATTGATTCCCTTATGCCTGAGGGAGATGGTAGCTACAGAGTGGGAGGTGAGTTATCACCGGGGCTCTGCTGGCCACCATCTCAGTTCTCTTCACAAAGTTTTCCTCACCAGAATCTTTCCTCAGGCACCAGCGCACTCTCCTGCCGCCTCTGCCCAGAGATCAAGGAGGGTGGCTGCCACTGCAAATTTTTGCATTGGCCCTTCAAGTGTCTCTTTGCATCTCCAGCTGCCTGTCTCTGGCAGAGAGCGCCCCTAAGCTTTTCGGGGTTGGGTTATGTCTATGTGTTTTCCTGGTTTCAGCTGCTGTAGTCTAGGGGTCCCTGTTTATAATTCAGACCCTGTTCTTCTCAGGGGGATCCAACTGGCCGTTTCAATGTCCCTCTGGTGCTGGTGCCCCTGGGTGCCCCGCCCACTCTCTCAAGCCTCAGGGCACTTCTCACCCGTTAGGATGTGTGAAAGTTGATTCCACTGTCTGTCCGCAGCTCCAAGGCTCCTCTCCCTCTATCGTTCCATTGACTTTGGTTTTGATTGTAGTAATTTCCAGTATCACCTTTAAAAACTTCGTGGGAACCTGTTTTGAGAAATTTGCAGTTTCACTTCAAAAGTCATTTGCATTGTGTTGGATTATTTGTGAGAACCTGATAGGAGCTGACGTTAATTTTTAATTACAGAGGGATGAGTTAGGGAATTAATTTCATAGGGGGATAGTTCACTAGTGGATGTTTTTATGTGATGGCAGTCCACTTTGCACCCATATAATAAATATTCATGTAAAATGGAGTGGAGGATCTGTTTATTGCAATGCTGATTTACTGGGGTGCTAACTCTCATTGACTCATTTCCTGTACAGTTTAAAAGGTAAGATCATCGATTATAAATGTATTAAAATAGTAGGTTAGCAGGTGTGGGATGGGGGTGTAGATTGGGGGTCAGGTGATACTACTGGATGCTGAGAGAAGGGACCTAACTTGCTATATATTGGAGTAATACATACTATAATTGTTTTACCACTGGGTAAACCTATATCTAAAGAGGCCAAGTAATTCGCTCAAAATAATACCACTAAGTCAGTTAGATCTCTTATTCCAAAGTCCATGTTCTTTTACAATTACATTATAACTGTTTTTCTGACAAAACATTACAGACATATGGAAAAATTTCTCTTCTCACCAGCCAATAACATGTGAATTACAGCTTTAATATAATTTAGTCTAAAGGCATTATAGAATAACTGATACTGATAACTGGTCATCAGACCTTAACATTTGTCATAGGTAACAGTAATATGATGCTTGTTAGTTTATTAAAGCACTTTTACATCAGAAATTTCATGTAATTCCTATAACAACCTTGTGAAGTAATCATCATTTTACTAGTGCACTTGGGCATGGTGTCTAAAACAGGAAGGGCTTGCATGAATTATGTCCCCACAATATTAGAGCCACGGGTCTTTTGCTTGCAGATCTTTTTTTTATAAATATATTTTATTTATATTTTTTAATGGTTGTTCAATTACAGTTGTCCCCATTTTTCCCCAATTACTCTCCCCTGCCCTACCTACCCCCCCAATTCAGTTTCCCCCTCCATTGTCTTTGTCCGTGGGTCCTTTATAGATAGATGTTCCTTGACCCTTCCTCTTCTTTCCCCTGTTATCCCCCTCTCCCCTCTGCTTTGGTTACTGTCAGTTTGTTCTTTATTTTCTTGTCTCTGGTTATATTTTGCTCACTTCTTTGTTTTATTAAGTTCCACTTATATGTGAGATCATATGGTATTTGCCTTTCACTGCCTGGTTTATTTCACTTAGCATAATACTTTTTAGTTCCATCCATGCTGTCACAAAGGGTAGGAGTTTTTTCTTTCTACTATGTAGCATTCCATTGTGTAAATGTACTACAGTTTTTTGATCCATTCATTACTGATGGGCACTTAACCCCGTTTCCAGCACTTGGGTATTGTAAATAACACTGCTGTGAATATTGTGGGGCATAGGTTCTTCTAAAATTGGTGTTTCAGGATTCTTAGTATATAATCCCAGCAGTGGAACTGCTGGGTCAAAAGGCAGTTCCAGTTTCAGTTTTTGAGGAAATTCTATACCATTTTCCACCAGTATGCATTCCTACCAACAGTGTACTAGGGTTCCCTTTTCTCCACAACCTCGCCAGCACTTGTTTGTTGATTTATTCTGACCTGTGTGAAGTAGTATCTCATTGTGGTTTTAATTTGCATCTCTCTGATGGCTGTTGATGCTAAGCATCCTTTCATATGTCTGTGGGCCCTGTGTATGTCCTTGGAGAAGTGTTTGTTCAAGTCCTTTGCCTAACAGAGCCCTACAAATATTCATTGTGTAGTAATAACCTCAAAACATTATCCTCCATGATGTCTTTTAGATTTACTCTATCACATTTAAATGATGTGTTTTTATGGGATTTTATAATTGTGTTATTTTACAACTGTATACCTTAACATTAATTTTGTGGATTTGGTGGCAATGTCTATCCTTTTACTTCCAAATAATGAATGATTTACTTTTAAGTGGATTAGTTTAAAATGGAGCTCTATATAATCTAATTTTTAATTTATTCTTTATAGAGGCTGAAATCCATCCTCTGTCACCATTCTTCAAAATGCAATGGAATGTACCAAGGACTGTATTCCGACTGGCACATAGGACATGCATGGAAGCACATAGAGCCAGTCTTTTTGGACACTGTCAATATATAAAGGGACCATTACTTTTGTACAGAGCTGAATCCAGAGTCGTTTTGGTACAGGGTCCTCAAAAACAATGGCTGCACTTATTTGCTGCCCAGCGTACAGCAAAGGGAAGGAAGCCATTGGATGCTCATTCACCCCAATGGGGGTTTACTTACCATAAACAGTGGAAGCAAGATATTTTCTCCATGAGGGTTATGTCATCTAATGCTACATCTCCAGGAACTCCTTCAGAAAAAAAAGAAGAACCTGATCCTTTACAAGACAAATCTATTAGTCTTTATCAACGATTTAAGAAAACATTTAGACAATATGGAAAAGTTTTGATTCCAGTACATCTAATAACTTCTGGAGTTTGGTTTGGAACATTTTATTATGCAGCCATAAAGTAAGTTTTCACTTGGTTGATCACCTCTCCCTGTTATAACAGAATGTTAATCTTCTTAATTGTACTAGTGGAAGCCTTAAATAGTTTTCTGAATGCCTTAATGTCTTTAATTGATAGAGAATGACTACACTTCATAATTTTTCACATTTTAATAATAGCTAACATTTGCTTTGTGCATCAAGCATTGCTAAATTTTTAACTGTGTTATCTCATTTAATTCTCACAGCAATCATATGAACCATGTAGTGCAGTTATTCCCACTTTATTAATGAGAAAACAGATTAAGTCGATACAATTTAGATTTTTCCAGAATAACTCAGAGTCTGATTTCAAATCTCATGCTCACAATCACTGTGCACATCTCCTATCAACGTTTAGGATAGTGCAGATATAAAATCATATTTCAGAAATTTGGCAGGAGCATGAGTTCTTCAGTATTTCTTAAAGTGTTCATAAATGTAAGAAGATATCTCTTTTTTATGTGTATGATTTTAGCGGAAAACTAGTAAGATAATTTTGCCAAAGCCTAGCTAATATCTGTTATAGACACAAAATAGAGCAAATTGCATACTTAATCATGTCTGGTAAATGTCAGCATTAAGTCTTTTATTCTGATCAGAAGTTTGTTATACACTTGAAATTTTGTTAGGAGAGTAGATTTTATGTTAGGTGTTCTTACCACAGTAAAATAAAATTTTTTAAAAAGTTAATTTTTCAGGCCTAGCCCCCTGATATTACGAAACAGAATTTCTTTTCTAGTAAAATTCTATACCTTTCTTTTCAGGTAAGTTATATTATCCACACTTTTTTTTTTTTTTTTTAAGGACAAATACACATAGAAATGGCTTCCCAATGATTTTCAGTTTGTTTCTGCCTCTAGCAGAACCCAGCAAGTACCAATCTGTGCCTGTTCCTTTGAACCCACCATGTGGGCTTTTCTTGTGCTCATCTGGATGTGGCCAAACTCATTGTCATGAGGGCAATGAGACAGCACAGTATAGACCATTTTGACATTTTAGTAAACTCTCCTAATAGAATTAGAATTATTTTATACTTTCCAAAAGTCCACTTATTTTCAGTGTTTGGTTATATTAACTAACTTGATATTAAGGTATTATTAATATGGTAGTTTTGTATGTGAAGCTCACGTCTTGGAAAAAGCTTACTATTTCCTAAATTAAAAAATGATGGGCCCTGGCCAGCGGCTCAATTGGCTAGGAGCATTGTCCCATACACCTGAACGTTGTGGGTTCAATCCCTGGTAAATCCAGTGATAAAGATCTCAGACTTTTAAAACATTTTATGTCAGGGAGATCTAAATTGTACATGCTAGTAGATTTTATTAAAACTAAGCTTTATTGTCACTTCTCTCTGGCAAAAGCTTGCAGATATGTCTTCTAACCAGAAGTCCTCTTGTCAATTGTTAGCTCTGTGATCATGGTTTTGTCCTTGTGTTCAGATGCCTCATGTTTTGGGCCTCAAGTTCCTAAAGCCGTGCATTCACTCTGAGGTGAAGTCCTGACTGATTTTCACTGTGCTTTATCCAGACTGTGAATGTGCTTTGGCCCTTGCGTGTTTCTGCAACAGTAGAAACATCCATAAAGTTGGCAGACTGTGAAGCAGAGATTTTTGTCAGGCTGTCTGTGGGAAGTTAAGTGTAAAAAGCAAGGAAAAGTATATTATTGTTTGAATCAGACTCTCAATAATACTTAATATGTAGCAATTCCAAAGGAAACAAAAGTTATTTTTTAAAAAGTCAAGTTATCAAGTCAGTATTTTGCAAAAAAGTAGAACCAGGTGCTTTTTTATTTATTTTACAAAGGATGCTTACCCAAGGTGTCCAAGGTAATTATTGAGTTCTTTTTTTTAAATCACCCAATTCTGTCTTCAATTTGGCCAAATATTTGTCTTTTTCCCCCCTTTCATGACATGCTGTTAAATATGCAGATTTTATATACTGGGCTTAGTCTGAACAAGGAAATGATTAATGAAATAATTTTATAATTGTATTGTTACTGGAAAATAATTAGCATGTCATGGTAGCATGTTACTGTACACAGTGACTATTAGATCCATAGAATAGTCTTTATGGTACTAAGTCTTGCTTTCATGGGATTCTCAGAAAGTGGTTTTCAAAGGAACTGATAGTGGGGATGAAGACAGCAGATTGGATTTGTAATTGATATTTTCCTCAAACTCTTTAACTAATGGGTTACTTCAGCTATCTGGTTTCCTCTTAGAGATAATAGGTAATTTTCCTTGATGATATTCAGCCATATCTTTTGAGTAATCCCTGGTTTCTTAGTATTATAGTGAAATCACCGAGGGACAGCTTTTCCCCAGTTAATCAAATTATTTTTTTAAAGATTTTCTTTATTTATTTTTAGAGAGAGGGAAAGGAAGGAAGGAAGAGAGGAAGAGAAACATCAATGTGTGGTTGGCTGTCCCCACTGGGGGCCCAGCCAGCAACCCAGGAATGCTCCTGGACCAGGAATTGAATCAGCAACACTTTGGTCTGCAGGCTGGCACTCAATCCACTGAGCTACCCAAGCCAGGGCAAATTATTTTTTAATATTAAAAATAAATTAGGAGTTTGCAACTACCATAGTAATCATGGATCCAGGCAATTTTCTTTCTGAATTAGAAAGAGAAACATTATGTATGTGTACAGTAGAACAATCTGTGGATCCTACCTTTTAACCAAGAATCAAACTTATATCGGTGATGAAAAAAACTGACATTATATGGCCCCTGTCGGTACACCAAAATGAACTGTGCAGAATCCACTATACAGTTTTCCTGTGGAAATTTAACCAGAATTTGATCATGAGGAAATAATAAGACAAATCCAAATTGAGGGATAGTCTACCATGTAACTGGCCTGAAATCTCTGTCAAGAAAGACAAAAAGTTCCTCCTCAACAAAAAGTTCGGGAGAGCAGTTCAGGAGAAAAGAAGACTGGAGAGATAGGATAGTAATAAGGGACATATGGGGCCAATTCAGGAAATTTTCATATGCAATAATACAGGTGCTGGCACATATAATGCCCCTTTTTTATTAACAAAATAGTTTATTACAAAATCATAGGCATGTAATTCTGTAATATAACTATCACAGATACACCATATGCCATTTTAGGTGAAATATTCAAACTAAAACTATAAATTATTACACCCATATTATTACCCCACCAACCATATTCAAGCAGGCGTTATTTCTGCTGGACCTTGTATATTGTTAACTATATACTATTGCATATGTTAAATTTCTTGAGTGTGATAATTATACCATGTTTATGTAGGAGAATCATAGAACAAGAGCCTTGTTCTGATTTAAAGGTGAAGGGTCACAATATCTGTAAAAGTACTTGGTGAGAGAGCACATAAGCATGAGTGAGGGCATGCATACACGTCCCAATGTAATGAAGTGTTGATAATCAGGAAAACTACAAATAAATTAGGGCTTAATATCTCAGATTAGAGGCTTTCTCTGTCTCCTCTCCCTCCCTCCAAAAATTTGTTACAATTCATGGTAATTGTTCTTTACCTGCCTATTAAGTCTGATAGTAGTATAGAAGCATCCTTTTAGAATAATTGAAGTTTTCAATTATAAAATGATTTTCAATCATTTATTCTTTTCATCATAATACAATAAATAATGTTATATCACTCGCTTTTACAATGGTAATGTAGTTTGACATGCAGTATTAGAAATAGAAATGTTAGGTCTTGAAGTTTGAGTTGGAGCATTCTAAAAGTGGTGTTTAATTGAGGAAACTAAGATCAGGTAAATGAATCTGATCCTTTTAAGTTACTGAAAGGTATTAATTTTGCTTTGATAAATGCTTCTGTTGTTCTAAATGTGCTAATTAGGGAGGTCTACATGCAGAAGCAGAAGTTGCACACAGTAAACTAACATGACACTGGTGTTTGTGTACATATTCTTTTAGAGTGAAATAAAAATGCTTGATAATGTAGAATTGACTTTGAAACTGAATTTGGTTTTGGTAATTTCAGATGAACTTTTGAAAATATTTATTCCTAAAAATTTGTGTGTGCGTGTGTGTATAAATTGCTTTCTTTTTTCCTTAGAGGAGTGAATGTCGTTCCTTTTCTAGAACTTATTGGGTTACCTGACAGCGTTGTAAACATTCTGAAAAATTCCCAAAGTGGAAATGCACTAACAGCATATGCCTTGTTTAAGGTAGGTACTATTATAAATGGATTACTCCTCACACTAATCACTGACCTGCTCAGTTCCCCAGAAAACTCAGTGTTAATACCCAGTAGTTCACTTTTGTTATGTAAAATATTGCATTTCATCTCTTATATGTCTAATGATAAAATTTTAAATTTTTCAGTGTAAATAAAATGATAGTTTAGGAAAAGTTCCTTGAAAATAGGTAGATCATTCACAACCTGCTCTGATCTAATGTGAAACTTCTGAATTTCTAGGATAGACATCATCTTTTTGACATTTTTCCTATCAATAGTATATTAATTTTCCTTATTCAGAGATTCACATGCCACCTGACTTGTAAGTGAAGTTTAGCAATTATTAATGTTTATAATAGTTCTTAATAAGTAAAGTAGTAAAGTTTAATTCCACTTTTTATGTGATAAACCTTAGACTTAGTTGTTAGATGTTATGTATTTTTTATTTTAGAAGTTCTTAGATTTTATAACTTATCTGGATTTAGACAATGACTAGATAAAGAAATGACTATAAATAGTTTCTATACCTATGGGTCTTTATTTCAGAAGAGGAAACTCAATTTAAATCGTGGAATTTAGCTATATTAATCTCATTTTCCTCAATTGAAAATAATTATGAGGTTCTTTGTAGCTTCATGTTAAGAAAACAAGTAGAAGGCATTTAGAAACGAGATGTTATTTTATTTTTGTTGTATGAAAATACTTAGAATTATGGTTTTAAAATAGTGCTCAAATTAAAGTAGTTTTATTCTGTCATTCTCATTAGAATCCTCTAAAATCTTGGGAGAGTTCCTCTTTTATTATAGTATCGACTAGCAGGCTAAGCTTAGTTGCTTAGTTTCCCAACATTAGAACTTACTAAATTCATAAATTATCAAGTTTATAGTTATAATGGATATAATTTAACCTTAATAAATCACACAATTTGATGATGATTTAAACCATTTAAACAATATTTGTCATCCCATGCTCCCATAACATATATAGTTTTATATAGTTCATATCACAGTCTCTTTACTTTTATTTTTTAATGTTTTCTTTATTTGATTATGAGTGCCCAGGAATTCAGAATCATGCGTTTTCTTTGTTGTTTTCAGCATGCCTGGTGGTGTGCTTTGTAGGCAAATCAGTGCTGAATGCATGTTGGGTTGGGATTGAAATAAGAAACTGTGTAGGTAAATGTGTTAGCAGTGTTTCTTCTCATTCATTGTTCCTGTGCAAGAAGAGAAATGTGGAGGGCGGTTCTCCTGGGTATTTACTGTAACCCACAGTTTCTCAAGTAGATTTCAGCAAACACTGAGACTTACTGCTTTGATAAGGCAAAGCCCCAAAGAATGGTGGCAAAGGTGAAAAAATAAATAAATAAATAACCTGAGTATGTCTTTGTAGCCTTGGCTACGACACACTCGTAAACCTCTTGTCCTGTCCTTGAAATATACTGTTGTTTGAGCTGATAAAAAATTGTCGAGCCCCCACTGTATGCCAAGTGCCAGTTCTAAGTACTAGGAATACTGTAATTAAATGAAATAGTGCAGAATTGCAAAATACCTGCCCATGTGTAGCGTATTCTAATGATGGGCAGCAGTTGGAGAGACAAAAAAAGGGAAACTTTAACACACACACACACACACACACACACAATGTAATTAGGTGGTAATGAGTGCTAAGAAGAAAGAACAAACCAGTGATGGGGATTGTGTTTGTGTTGTTGATTGGTGTTTGTTTTTCAGAAGGAGGGTTGCAAGAAGGTGAGAGTTAATCAGGCAGCGGTGTGGGAGAAGAACGTCCCAAGCAAAGAAAACCCAAGTAGAAGGTCCTGAGGCTGCAGGATACCTGGCGTTTGTGGGGAAAAGGAGGAAACAGTGTAGCCGGAACAAGTGAGCAGGGACGCATGCAGAAGAGTGCCACATCAGGGCAGCCTGACAGGCCGTTGTGAGCACTCTGGCTTTTATTCTGAGGATCAAATGAAAAGTCATTGGGCAGTTTTGAGCATCTGACTTGTTTTGACAAAATCACTTTAGCTGCTGTATTGAAAACAGTCTCATGGGACAAGGGTAGAAGCCCAGAGATCTGTCAGGAAGTTATTGCAGTGATCTGGGTGAAAGCTGAGAGTGGCTAGGATCAAGATGGTAGCAAGAGAGGTAGTAAGAAGTAGGTGGATATATTTTGAAAGAATATAGGTTTGGGCCTGAGCAACTGAAGAATATATTCATTTCCTGAAGTGCAGACAACTTCAAGAGGAGCAAATTTGGGGTAGGACCATTGAACTTACAGAGGTCAGTTTTGAACAGATGTCATTTTGAGATCCTATTAAATATACAAGTGGAAATGACTAGGTGGTTGTATATACTGGAGTTTAGGGGAAAAGGTTGTCTGGAATCTTCAACATATAGATGCCGCTGCGGACATTAAACTAGACAAGATCACCAAGGGAGTGAGGTGGGTGGTGAAAAGAAAGGATCCAGGCACCGAGTGCTATCCAGCCGTGTTCAGAGGTAGGCACCCATGAGGAGGGATCTACAAGGATGACCGGAAAGGGGCAGCCTCTGAGATGGAAGGAAGCTAGGGAAGTAGGGACCTGGCAACCGAGCAGAGGACATGCACTGAAAAGCTGTCTCAGGTGGTTCTCATGGTTCACAGCACTCTGCTTGGTGATGAGAGCAGTTTCTGTGGTAGGGCTGAAAGCTTGGTTAGACTAAGTTCAAGAGAAAATGAAGAGGGAAATTGGAGATAGAGAGCACATGCAGCTCTTTCAAAGAGTATCTGGTACATCTGCAGCTACAGCTCTAAATTTTAATACAAAAGCCTCAGATTGTGATGCAGACTCTACTTTTATGATTCTCTTTGATCAGTAAATACTACTATGGTATTTACTTTGGCTCTTATATCTCTAATCAGATGTAAACCTCTGCGTATCTGCAATATGTGTACAATTTTACCACTTGTTGGCCTCATGGAGGTTCTGGCTGGGATTCCAGACCTCAGGCAGATTACAATGAGGGAGTAAAACTAAATTCAGTAAAGAAAAAACACCTGGCTCATGCTTGCTTCCCACTACCTAAAGTAGTTTGGTTCTAGTTTAGTTCTCAGTGGTGTCTGTGGGTCAGCAGTGTTTTAAGCAAAAGAACCTGTGTACCTTTGTTGTTGGTAGTGGTACTGAGCCCTCTTTGATCTCCCAGGAAGTCCCCCCCACCCCCCGCCAGGGTTCACTAGCACACTCATAAAGAGTTTAGTGTGGCCATTCTGAACATTCTGCAATACTAGGTTACTGTCTGAGTAACATATTTATAAAATGAGTTTACAGAAGAAGCACTCCTTGTTAAGAGGGAGAACCATAACTTCATTAGCCTTGCAAAACAATAAAGTAATTCAGATTGTTTCTGCTTATGATGATAGTCATAATTAGGTTTTTATCTGCCTGTTTGCTTTTTTCCTTCAGATTGCAACGCCTGCCCGATATACCGTGACTTTAGGGGGAACCTCGTTCACTGTGAAATATTTGCGTAGTCACGGCTACATGTCAACACCACCTCCTGTTAAGGAGTATCTACAGGACAGGATGGAAGAGACAAAGGAACTTCTCACAGAGAAAATGGAAGAAACGAAAGATAGACTGACTGAAAAATTACAAGAAACCAAAGAAAAAGTTTCTTTTAAAAAAAAAGTGGAATAGGGTGCCTTATGTAATAGGTTATAAACAGTTCCTGCACTTTAACCCTTTAGAAACTTGGGACAAAGATAACATGCTTCTGATTATATTTTTGGTTAGTTGCCTAACTATGCCAGCCACTTCTCTGAGGATTATAAAAAACTAAGATAACCTTTTTAATGTTAAATGTCACTAGAAAAATCAGTGTTTTTTGAAAAGAAAAAATGAACCCAGTGTAAGAATTTCACATCAAGAGCAGCATTAAGCAATGGTTAATGTCTTATAAGTCAGCTCTTTTTCAAGGTCTTCATAATCATACATGCTTTATGTTTTGTTGCAGCTATAATTGAGGCAGATGAGGCGATTGAATCCTTGAATAACAGATGTAGCCCTAGACAGGAAGATAACACTGGGTCTTCATCTTTATGCTATTCATTGAGGTTTTAACTATATTCAGTTCTTAATGTGGAAACAGACTGTTATCATCAAAACTGCCTGTGAATAAGAGGATATTTAGTGTTTCTATAAAAAGTGTATAACAGTTACATACCAGAAAAAGTACAAACTTTATTTGAAGAAAGTTGAATAAAAATTGAGTCATACGTGTAAGGTGCATCGGTTATATGTAAATGAAAAAAGTGACCATTTAAAAATGATTTTTACCTGAAGCTTGTCGTAAATCATTAATTTCTTAAAGCAGATATATACGGCCATAGTACCTTTCCGCCTAGAACATAAAGCTGCCATGAATTGTGTCCTCTCCAACTAATTTTTCAGAGGAAAAGTAAAGATAATTATACCTTAAGTGTATTATGGAAATCACGCTATCTTAAGCAGCGACTTGAGCTTGTGGTTCTCAAGCAAAGGCAGGTTTAGAAGGATGGAAGATGGAACCAGGTTGTCACAGAGCTGACTCACTCACTGTCCCTGCCACCTGGCAGGTCTTTGTCTCAGGAAGCCAGTGCTCTTTCCCAATATGTTCACTCTAGAGTTAATGTTGATCTCACTGAGAAAAAAATTTTTAAATTGTAGCTGCTTCTTTTTCCCTGATATTTAATCTTTGCGTGAGCATTTTACTTGAATTTTTTATAGAAAATCTATCATTTAATGATATGCTTGGAATGAAATTCAGCCATTGTCAGATATGAAAGTTGCCATAATTGTGTGGGCATGTTTAAGGTATCTGTGTCTGTTTCCTTTTGCTTTAACTGATTTTTACTTCCATCCTAACCCTTGGAGGAATATTTAGAAGGGAAAGTGGCCTCTTTCTAAACTGTCTGTTGAGACTGTCAGGGGGAATGCCCGAAACAGTCCTGTGGGAATCACTGCTCTTTGGCAGCATTTTTGTATTTAATATTTAGTCTGGCTAAATTTAGAGAATACTCTAAAGAGGAAAAAAAGCACTCACACAATCCAATCATTATCATGGAACACTTTTTAAATTACTATTCCATGGTTGAGATCTTTCATTTGTGGGTGAAGCAGAGTGGTAAGGGGAGGGGACAGGACATGCTGCTGTGCCACAGGCCAAGCTGATCAAGACAATGGTTTATCTCCTGATACAGACTTGAACTTGCGATTTCAAACTGACAGCACATTTTCAACCACTGGGGCTTATGCCTGTGTTTTAAAATCTTGTTATATAGAACTCTGCTAAAACAATTTTCTTCCACTGTGCACATTGCACAGAACATATTTTCCAATGGGGATAAATTGTAGGTTGTTAGAAGTCACTAGTAATTCTAGGACTACTAGGATTTTCCTGAGTTACCCACCTTTTGTCCAGTCCATTTGAGTTTTGTTGCTATCCAATTTCATAATTGTCTTGCATTTATTCAGTTATAGAAAGTGAGTGCTAGTAAAAAATTCTCTGAAAATGTGAGAAGTTCTTTTGACATTATTTGGCATCAAAAATATTTGTTAACATGTCAAATGCTGTTGCTAGCATATTGCTAACCCAGTTCTTAAGGAAAGCTACAAATAGCTTAAAAGGGGATACTTCTAATATGTTGTATGAAGTTAAATAAATTGTTAAAGCTATATAGAGAGTAAATACATGTAGTTTGTAATATATAAGCCCCATTTCATTTACAGTTATCCTTATCCTTTGCATTAATTGGCCCATAACTTCTGTGATCTCCAAGGCAGAGAAGTTCCCCCTGTCTGATCATTATGTCTATATTTAAGTAGGATGTGTTAACAAGGTAAAGAGGCTATGACTGAGATTTAACTTATATAAAGTGGATAAAAAGAGTTTGCTCAGCAAATTAACAATTAAAATGTAAAAGATCAGGTCAGAGACATCGTTTATTCAAGAATAATAACAAAGCCAACCTTTTAAAGTACCAAAAAATGTTTTTTACTGAAACCTTTTGCATATAAGAAATGCTGTTTATGTATTTCAACAAAGGAGAAAAAGAATGCATATATTGAGATGACCTCCCTCCCAGTAGTGGAAAAAATAAAATTATGCCTTCAAGTATGATCTTCAGTTTATTTTTACAGAACCTGCCCCCTCCCCCCATTTGTTTACAAGTGAAAGATACTACTGTGGTCCTTTATGCTCCAGGATGAAATGAGCTATTGGCTGTCTTACTTCAGTCATTTTAGAAGATAATTCCAGGAACCTAAAAGATCTTAATAGTTTGGGCAGAAGTAGTGTTTGAAGAAAAGAAGCAAGATGTATATTACACCCAGGTAGCTTTTTCCTGTGTCCTTTATACTGGGTTCAGTCCATCTTCAGGATTTCTTAACCAATTCAGACACTGTAAACAATTGCACTGTAGACTGTGGTGATGGTAATGAAATGGACAGAAGGTGATTGTAATAAATGAGGCAGAAAATGTGAGTGCATCTTTCATCACATTTTTGAAATTATACCATTTTTACAAAATGTGTAAGATACACAATTCTGAATTAGTAAAGGATTCTCTCTGAAAAATACTTGTTTTCATGGTAATGTAGATATATTCTGTTGGCTGCAGTTCATTTTTTTTTTTTTAATGGGGACCTTCCATTTACTTTAGATTTTCCAAACTCTCCATAAGGCCTAAGCTAAAGTAGATTAAATGTTACCAAAATTGGTTGGAAGTGTTTTTCAGTATCAAAAGCTTACTACTTAATACTATTGATTTTATCTGTGCCATGGTTGACAATGCATCAGATTGCATTGGCCTAGATGCCCAAGTAGCATAGGAGGATTCATGTAAAAAAGTGTGGGCCTCTGTGCCACCTTTGAATTTAACCACCTGAATCAGAAATTTATAGAACCAGAGGTAGACACTTTTAATTATCCATTCTGCAAATACTAACTTTGTTAAGTTTATTTTGGTCCGTCTGTATGCTATGTAGTAGTAGTACCAAGTTAGTATTAAACAGAATTCCAAAAGATGTTGCAGCATGTACCTGAAGGTACAATAGAATCAAGACTTCATTCTTCCCTTAGAGACTTGAATGGTCTAGAGGACTCACTCAGAATTCATCTTCAGTCATGAATTTTGGCCTGGGTCTCTGATACTTCAAAGATCTCTACTTTGAGCTTGTAACTTATGTTTGAGAAATGCCAAGTCAGGCCAGTTGGATATAGTTTTCCCTCTGTGAGATTTTTCCTTTGTGACTTCTGTTAAGTTGGTTTATTTTAACTAGACAAATCAAGTTTTTGACTGTCTTGCTTCTTCAAGGTTAGGCTTTGAAAATCAATCTGTATTCTTCCCTATGTATCATTGACCTTCACCAACAATAATAGTTACAGATCATTGTTATCTTGTGGCAGTTATCTGCCTATTTTGATAAAAATGATCGTCTTAGTAGAAAGAATGCATCTTGATTTCAGAAACCTTCAGGGCAAAGTGTAACAGTTTAGTCTCTTTATTCTGTCACTTGTTTGGATAATCATCATGGAGAGGCACAGGCAGCCCAAGTCAGTCAGTCTCAGACCATATGGTTGTGCTTGTGGAGAGTAAGATGAAATAGAAGACACATTCACATTGTTTTTTCTCTAGGACAACGTGGTCTGTAAGAGCAGAAGTCGTGGGATGGTTAAAAAATGTTCCACATGCTGCTGAAATCAAAATACATCCTTGTTCTGCCCAAAAGTGAGGATTGCATAGAACCTTTTTTTCTTTTTCCACCCTCTGTCCAGATTTTTCTGTTTTGAATTTTGACCACTTTATGTGTTAGAAAACTCTTCGAAGTGAGACAGAAAAAGGCAAGTTTGCACATGAGCATGCTTGACTTTGTGGTGGCATGCCAGTTCTCCCTCTCCATCCACACTGCCTGCTCCTCCTAAGAGTGGGACAGTAAAATTACAGTTGTTTCCTGACTTTTTAGTGCATGATGAAATTCGGGCTTTTCTATTATAATTATATAATGTTTACTCTAACCATATGACATGAAATAATGGCAATTCTTTACCTTCCCTTATACCAATTAGGTCCTTAAAAATAGGTTTGGTTTGGTTTTTTTAAAGAACAGTATTTTTTCCATACACACAAATAGCTCAGTTACTACCTTGTATATACTTCTAAGTACTAGATTTGAGATTCTGTAATGACTGAAATATATTTTGACTATGTTTTATTGAGTTTGAGTCAATATTTTCTTTGGACACTTCATACAGTAAATTGTCACTATTACTTTACTTTTCTAAGAATAGTGGCAACTTTGGTTCTCTCTTACTCTCAGAGAGCCAAAAGCAAGGTCTGTGAAGTCCTCAAATGCCGTCCACTCTGACTGCCCTTCAGTTCTGTCTGGAGATAGAATTATAGGGTTTGGTTGCTACGGTGCTCCATCAACAATGGACTTTCTATTCCCTTATTGAAGATATAGATATGGTGGGTAGTAATTTTGCATTCCTCACAGAAATAAGATCAGAAATAAAGGACAAGTCTTAGTTTCCCCAAAAAAGCTGAAAATAGTATTTTCAAACACTTAAGTTCACAAAACCTATTATTATACAAACTTTTGTTAAGAAATCTAGGCCACTTAGTAAGTACATTATTTTGGAAGCCTTTGAGATTAATAGGAGTTTTGAGTCAAAGCCCAGGCTTACAGAGATTTTTTATAGAATTTTGCCTTTAGGAAACAGGCCAATATTTTTTCTTGAAGGAGGCCCAAGAAAGCTGGAGCTGAAAGTCAGATCTCAATTTCCAGTTAATATTTTTCCTCTTATCCAATCACTAAGATAAAGCAAGTCTGTACTTTGGGACTTTAGACATTCTTTGTACTTTTGAAGCTAAAGCCAACTTATTAGTATTCCTTACCCCCATCCTGCTGGTGCCTTCCATCTTCTTTAGGCTTGTAACCTAATAATTTTTCTTTAATTCTCTTACATTCTATTTTCAACTTTTTTTTCTTTAGAATGATAGGAAGAGGAGAGAATAGTTACTCTGTTATTTATGATTACAGAAAGGAAGCATTCATTTATTTCTCATGGTCCAGCTTCATTTTCCTCTCGGGGGGTTTGCCATCAGCCAGTTCAGTGCCAGTGTCTTGTTACTATTTAGGTTGACCTTGGCAGAGCAGTTAGTAGCTATTTTCAAACACCCAAATTTATGCTTGAGGAGAAATAATCTAAACTTTGGTAATTAGATCTAGTCTTTATACAATCTGTACATGTTTAATATTTCTTATGTCCAAAGAGGATCTGATCTCAGGAAATACTCTACTGCCACCTTGGTAAAAAGTGAGTTGCTTTTTCCTGTTGCCCCTGTGTGGAGGGTCATGAGAATGGTCATGATGTCTGAGCCTGTATTTGTGGCATACTTGGTTGGAGCCAGCTCAGATCAGAATTTTCTGTTTACTTTGGGCCAATCACTGGACATCTGAAGTGATCAGAAGCTGACATTGGTGAAACATTTTAGCACTGTGAAGTTCAGTATATCCCTGATTAAGAATTTTTAGTTTTCACAGAAGGACAGGTTGGGCTCTCTGAATCCCACAACAATGACCAACGTTAAGCCCTGCACTTCATACACTACGTAAAGTGGTAGAGAAAAGCTGTGTTTTTGATAGTGCTATTACATAGGCTCTGTGCAGGGATGGTGTCCAATGGACCTGATAAGCTAAAACTTGCTGAGCTGCATTTGCCTTATGTCCCTCTGTTACATGTAGGGAGTGTGCATGCACACTTCACAGATACACAGTGAGGGTGGTGAGAACAAAATATGCTCCTATAATGGACAGCGGCCCCTCCGTCTGAACGCAGAGGCCTGGGTGGGTGGAAGCATCCTGCCTCGCCCTCTCCTTTAGCTGTGCTTAGCTCATACCCTGGCAGATGGACACTAGCAGATGGTGAAAGAAATGTCAGCACTGAGGAAAGGAGAACATGTATGTTTGGAGAAAGCTGATGGTAAGGCAGAAGACCCAGTGATCGTGGATGGTATTCCAGAAGACAGTGATTGTGCTAATAGCAAAGAGAAGTGAAGAATGAGGCATGGGTGCTACATGTGAAAAGGCAGAGATGGAAAGTGAAAGATCCCAGCACTTGGATCCAGAGGTACACCCAGGGTTTACTTCAGTCCTAAACTGGGGAAGTGGAGAGAAACGCTAAGTAACAATGCTCAAATCAACACTGAAAACTATTCTCCCTTTGGAATTTCACATTTTATTACTAAGGCTGTAAGAAACACATCCCTCTCCACACAATGGGGTTCATTAACCAAAAATTCTGTGTATGTCAACAATAATGGGGAAAGAAATGTATTTTATTTAAAACCTATAGGAAGGAAGTTTCAGGACTGGTGATTTAGTCTTCACCTTGACTTCGGGTACTCCAACCCTATATGGTACTAACTGCTGGAGCATCAAAATTGGTACCTGTTTCTTTCACTGGCATTTGAAGCTGCAGTGGTTAGTGGAGAGGGCCTTTCAAGGCAAAATACTGTTAACAAGTCTAGTAATAGAGCAAAATGTTTTGTTTTTTAATTAAACAGAATATGAAAGTTAGCAAAGATGTGACAGCTCCCTTTATTGTTGAGGGTCCTGCATGGCAAACACAACTCCTCCTCCAGACTTCCTAATCACATTGACAACTGCCCTTCAGAGACTTGAACTTGAGGTAAAGCTAACATTTGAATCATCCAAGTCTGTGGGCTCTGAAGCCTATGTTGCCATTTAACTAAATAGGAAATCCCACAGAAGTGGGACAGATGCTAAATCACCTCTGAGTCCCATGCTAAAGTTGGGTGTGACAAACAACCCTCACTCAGGGTGGAGAATAGGCAAAGGGATAGGGTGGCCCACCCTGGCACAGTGGAAGAGACCAGACATTTGTCCTTTGGTTTAAAAGCATGCTTACTCTGTTTGCTAGGACGTTTTGTGCCTACAGATGCCTGATAACAATAGTGACAGTACAACTCTAAATGCACATGGTTCTGTAAACAGGTTAAGTTATACAATAGCTACTGTAATTCAACTATTTGTCAATATATATGAATGTTTCCTGGTAAGGCCTTTCAAATTCTGTATTTCAGTCACCACTATACAGTGTTCAAATGAGAGTGGAAAGTGGGATGAATGAGGATTGTATTATAAGAGCAAAACCTGAAATCTGGACAGAAATTGGCATTAAAACAAAGAACTTTATAAATGAAAAGTTTCTATTTTTTGGCTATTTTAAAATGTGCATTTTAATTAGAATCCATTCAAAGGAAAACATCAAAACAGTATAAGAGTAATCTAATTATGTTGTAAATAACAGACTCATTATAAAATGTTCTATGCAAGTATCACAGTCAGAAAGTGGTGTTTTATTCCAAGGCTCACTCTGAGTGGATATCTGACAGAGAATTCTTTCAAGCATGCCCTGCATGTCTAAAAGTACCCCATAGGGTTCAGGGAAAGGGCAGCCTGATGAGTGTGATTCTTGGTTGACTTGCTTAGCAGTTGGCAGCTCTGCTGTTTCACAGACAAGCTAATAATGAACAGTCAACCAGGCAGGGCCAGAGATTGGAGGGGTTTGGGGTTTGGTGCAAGTGTTTCAGCAGCACTGAGATCCAGTGGAGAGCTCCCCACATTCCCATGTTGGGGCATCAGGAAGCCGAGGCAGGACTGGAGACCGTCATCAAGGGGAGGAGGTGTTGGGCTTCTATATATGTCCTGTACCGAGTGTAATCCTGTCTGAAAAAACTGGGTCCAGAACTTGGCATTTCTCCTCTGGCTCCCAGTGCTCAGTATTTTCAAGAATTGTGATGTGCAATGTCATAGAGGCATGAGAGCCCTACTCCAATGCTCCTTGGTCACTGTCAATTCAGCTCCAGTCTGGAT